CTCCGACCCTTCAATGCTATTTCAGGGCCTAAAATTGTCCATGGCTAGGGTCTTCTCCGCGAATAGACTTTCTGGCTCTAACAGCTGTAGCTAGCGGAATTTTAGGACCAGATCCAGATGCTGTGATAAAAACTGTGCGCTGTATCACCCACGAGCTATTGAATACAGACCCAAGTTCGGCCAAGTTCAGTTGGTACACCCACGAACTGTCGAATACAGACAATTTCGAGTCCAGATACAGTCTAATGACCAGAAAAAAAGATGTGCGCTGTATTCGCGTGAAGAGGGGGTACACACCATGCAGCGATCAACTTCGGCACCCAAAAAAGGAATGTATCCAAGGGATACTTCGGGCCAGATACAGCCGAAGTGAGGGTGCGTTGTGCTCGGGGGAAGACGGCAGCGCTTTCAGATTTCGAGGACGCTCAGCCCATCCTCTGCGGTGGAAGGGCGCGTAACAGGTTTTTTCCTTCTATTTAGTGAATTCTTTACTGTTTTTTTTTTTGTTTTTTTTTTTTTGTTTTTTTTAACCTTGGAATTTATTTCAAACGGGCCCAGTGCCCAAGGCTTACGAAGCGCCAGAGTGACTTTGGCAAGCAACACAACTATTGTTTGTGGATATGTGCAGCTATTGTTTGTGGATATGTGCAGAAATGGCGTCCAGATTCAGGCGTTGAGGGAACTCCACGCTGCTTGTAGTGGGACCTGGCCCCTGGCCATCTCGAGAATAGTTGTGTTTGCTAGTCCTTACCCGAATAGAACGCCCGGTCATTCTCGCTGCATCTAGACCGAAAGTTGTGCCAAGTACAGTTTATGATGACCGGGCGTTCTCTTCGGGTGATGCCGGTAGTCAAAGCGGCATTTTTTTCCAGAAACGAAAAGAATTCACTAAATATAAGACAAAAAACCGTTACACTCCCTTCTACCGCAGAGGATGGGCTGACGACTGTAGATGATGAGTTTGAAATTTGAATACGTTCATGATAGTGGAGCGTGACGTCCCAGGAAATTGGGTTATTTCACCGGCTCGAAGTTTTTTTAATGATTCTTTTTTTTGAGACGTCCAAATAGTCGCACTCGGAGTGCTACCCAGGGGCTAGGTCCCAATTGTACGAATGAAGCGATATTGACCGTCGAGAGCACTGATCAACGGTCAGAATCTCCTAATCCGTGCAAGTGGCACCTTTTTCCCCGGTTCCGAGTCCCACTAGCAGCGTTGAGTGACCTCAACGCCTGAATGTGGACGCTTTTGCGGAGATGTGCAGAAATGGTGTTGAGTTTCCTGAACTGCACGTCTCCACAAACACGTCCACATTCAGGCGTTGAGGTAGCTCAACGCTGCTAGTGGGACTTGGCCCCCGTCAAACCTATTCTTCGCAAAACGAATACACTAGAACGTTTGCAAAACTCGACCCATTAAATATTTCGTTTGTCCTTCGGGACATCCGTTAAAATTGGAACGATACACAGAAGATTAGCATGGTTTTTAGAAAAGAAAAAAAAAATCAAAATTGTTTTTTTTTCGTTTTCCCCTTTCGTCGTATTTTCAAAAGGCGCCGGCCATCACAAAAAAAAAAAAANAAAAAAAAAAAAAAAAAAAAGAAAAAGAAAAAGAAAGACATTATCATCATTAAGATATCATCATTACGGGGATCCCCGTAGCAGCCACATCCGTGCTCAAGCCTCCACCCGCGGTCCAAGTCGGAAGTCCCACCAGCAGCGTTGCGCTACCTCACGCCCGAATCTGGACGTGGTTGTGGAGACGTGCAGTTCAGGAAACTCCATACCATTTCTGCACATCTCCGCAGAAGCGTCCAGATTCACCGAGGTTACGGTTAGAAATTAAGAGGTCGGCCTGACGATATGCGACGAGCAACGAGAGAATGTGGTCATGATCATGGTGTTTGTGCGTTGTTAGCTTCAACGTGTCACTGCTTCCTGGTTGGAATGCATGAATCTGGTTATAATCTTGGTCTTTATGCGTTCTTGGGTTGCACTTATCACTTCCGTCTCCACGCGAATAGAACGCCCGGTCATTATGGCTGTATCTAGATTGAAAATTGGCACAGATGCAGCTATGATGACAGTGCGTTCTATTAGGGTGAAGCGGAACTGGGCCCTGGCCATAGCAGTCAGAAAAACAGTACGTTCTGAGAAACATATGGGTGAGGAGGATCTCTACCCTCGTCCCCCGAACACAACGTGGTACAACGTACGGTCAGTATAGCTGTATTTAGACTGCAAGATAGCCCAAATACAGCTGTAAAGATACCCCTTTTTGTGACTCTACTGAAGTTGCCTCTAAAAAGAAAGTTTTTAGTTCGGCGGCAGTGGTAGGTGGTAATTAGGGGAAGTGGTGGGTAGGTAGTGTGAGGTGAGTGAAATTGGGAGAAGAATGTGCCTTCAAAAAAAAAAAAAAAAAAAGCAAAGAACATCGCTCAATGTGCCTTTTTTAACAAAACAAAAAAAAGCAAAAAACACCCCTCGTCCAATCCTGGGCGAGGTCCATCTTGCACGGACAAGGATCACTATTGTCCTCTTTAGGGACCAGGTAGAGGTACCTGCACCCACGTGGGTGCATAGTACACACATGTAATTGTCGGTATATAGATGGCGTGTTCGAATCCTTTTGAAGCAGTTCGGATCCTTTTGAAGCAGATGTACTTCGGTAGAGGAGGACTCGCCCTCTCTGCGCTTAAGAGGAGGACTCGCCTCCACGTGGATTCGAACTCGCGTCCACGTGGATTCGAACTCACATCCATCCAACTCGCCATCTCTCTACGGTTAACAGGAGGACTCGCTTCCATGTAGTTGTGGGTAGAGAGATGACGAGTTGGAATCCTTTTGAAGCAGATGTACTTGGGAAGAGGAGGACTCGCCCTCGCCTCCACGTGACGCTTACACGCATGAAATGAATTTGCTTCCATGTGTATATCAGCCAGCCTCAATACATTGAGAGGTTGAGTGGAGAATTTGAATGCGTGGAGCTGATGAACCCAGCAGGGTATGAGTCCGAACTCATCTGACCAACGGTTAAGACCAGGCACAGTCCAAAAGCTGCCACCTTCTTTACCCCGATGTAACGCACAGTCATTATTGCATTACGTAGGGACTGAACGTTGCCCAGACCCAGCTAGGAGGGGTAGGACGACCTTGCATTGGATTCATCTGATAGTGGATATGGGACATGCTGCACAACTTGCTGAGCTCGATTTGCTGTGGTGAGTACTTCCCTTGGGACAATTGGTAGACAGAGCCCACGCAGAAACCTTTTTGGCTTTCCACGCCACCACCAAGTATCCCCTCCTTGGGAGAAGTGGTAGATAGAACCCACGCAGAAACCTTTTAAATTTGTTTTTTGGGTTTCCGCACCCTGCTTTGGCAAGAAGGGCCCACAAGAAATAGAGGGGTCACCCAAAGCCACGATGGCTTCACCACTCTGGCTGCGGCCGGCCGAACCGCAGCCCGCCAAAGCGCAGCGGCCTTGTCTTGGACCCCACACACACTGAAACCTTTTTGCTTTTTGTGTTTCCTCCCCTGGTTTGGCAAGAAGGGCCCACGGGCAATACAGGAGTCACCGAAAGCCACGGTGGCTTCACCACTCAGGTTCGAGCACCCACCATGCATGTGCGTGGGGTATACAAGACAAGGCTGACGCCGGGCAAACCGGCCAGGAGGGCGAGTTATATTGACTAGATCCCACTGGCAAAGGGGATAATTGGAGTAAGAGGGTGAATCTGGACGTGTTTGACACAGACATGCATAAAAGCAGATCAGTCACAATTTTCAGCACACCTCCACGAACATGTCCCCATTCACACGCATATTCCAATCCTCTTTGCCAGTGGGATCTGGGGCCTTACTCACCAAAAGTGGTCAGGGCCGAGAGGAGGCACCACAACCCTGCCTTCCCTCGCAGGCACAGGGATAAAGAGGGGCGCCGTTGCAGGCGGGGAAAAAAAATAGGGCCCGTGGTGACTACTCACCACTGTTGAGCAGTCACAAAAAAAAAAAAAAAAGAACGGG